TCATGAAAAATTCAGCATCTACTTAGAAGTTAAACATGAGTACAGTTGACTACAGTACTCAAATGGAGTTTAGAGTCACAATTCACTTACAAACCCACTGTGAATGGTCACTGAGTGATGGCGTGTGATTCTTGCTTTGTGTTCAAAGTTTTTAAACTGATGTAAGTTTCAAGTAATAGTTACCATGGTGCTGATACTTTCCTTGCAGTTGGGTTTACACTGGCATTACATTTTTTAATAGTTAGCCTACCGATATTTTCATAGCATGAGAATATCTGAAAAATAATGACGCCATATTGTATTCGTGATTGAACTGTGAGGGTGCTATTTGCTATACCGCTTTACCTGTGAGGGCGCTTTTTCCAAACACTTAGCTGCATGTAATTTCAGCAAATTTGACTCAATGCATGAATTAACATAATCTTAATTTAGATAATTATCTCATTGTAAGAATTTACTCTGTTCAATTAACTATATCTTAAATTAGTGAAATTACACAAAATGTAGCATTTATTTTCTATGATCTAAACCTTTAGCAATGGAAAACCATTTTCCTGAACCTTCAAGCCCGAAGAATATGCACCAATTATCGATTATATTTAATTTGCCCCACATTCCAAATTACCACAGAAGTTTGGAACAAGGAGAAATCTTTGTGAATCTGGGCATCATTTGAAACGTGATTAAAAAATACAAATTAAATTTGAAACATCAAATAAAGAATTTAAACAGTCTGACACCATGAGAATTGTTTAAAAATTCATGAAATGTTTTTTCTCAATTTGTATATATTCACACCACCATATGTGGCATATAATAGCTCCCAAAATACGAATAAACCAAATATTATCTCAGTTTCCTACATCAATATGCATGTTTGCTGTCCACAACAATGCCAAGCGTACATGCAACTATTAGATACTCTACTCTACTAATGTCATTGTTATGTATTATTTTCATAGATTTTTTGGAAAAAATTCAAAATAGCGCGAGCAATGCACCACCTGGAATGTTTGTATTCATGGGGAACAATTACGGTTATAATGGTGTCAATTTGTTACAAGATAACCTATTACAACCACAACAACAACAGCAGCAGCAGCAACAACAACAAATACAACTGCAATCTCAACAACAGGTAAGAGAATTGCAAGCATAGCATATTTTGTAGGTCTTGCCCTAGGATAGATGATCAGTTTATGTTAAATATATATTCAAATATGACACACTATTTGCCAGGATTAACAAGTGCATTCATAGCTGATATTTCTCCAGATTAAGTGAAGATTTTTGTTATCGACTTCCTCTCGGAAAGTCTACCAGACCAAGTGCTCTGATATTTGCTATATATACATCTTTGAAATTTGAAACATGTTGATGACAATTACAATCATCATATAGTAAAATACTTAATTTTTTTGCTGGAATTTATTTTCGCTCATAAGAATTTGGGGGTTTTTGGTATGGAGTTTATTTTCACTGATTTTTGATGACTTGAATGTGAAATATAGGAACAATGGTGTATTCGCTGGATTTTATTTTCACAGAATCATCTCTTCAGCGAAAATAGATTACAAATGGAAATTAGTATTTTACAGTATAACCTGCCATGGTTGTGATATGGCAGGAACTTTTAGTGAGATAACCATATGCATGGCTTATCACCTGAACCTAATCTCTCATTTTAAACAAAATGATCAATTTTGTTGATGGGATGACTATCACCAGAGCTATTTCGAAGTGTCGCTTGTTAAAATGCTTGAGACGAGATGAGTTGAGTTTGAAATCACTGTTTATTTATATTTGCTAATAATAAACATATCTTGTGGATTTATAGATCGCTGGAGGCAGTGGCAATATGGGATTCCAAAGCCAGTTCACCAATTTACCTGGTTCCCTTGATGACGCTATAAATAGTCTAGCCTCAGAATCGTCTGGCAGCGTGCAACAACAGCAATCACTATCACTACCTTGTTCTCCTGTCTCAACAAGTGCGCCACAGCAGTTTGTGTCTGGTATATCTATACCAAGTACAGTTACGTCTAGTAGTATGATGTCACAGTCTGCAATGGCTTCAAGTCCACCATGTAACCTAGCAGCTGCACTTGCTATGAATCTTCCCCTTAATCCACTCGCTGCTCAGATTGCACAGGCGATACAATTATCACAGCCGACAACCACGTCCAACATTCAAGCCAAGCCTGTGACTTTCAGAACTGTAGCAACACAACCATCTAGCCTGTTATCTCAAACTCCTCCCGTACAAACCAGCAAAATGTCTTCGTTTCTACCTGCAAATTTAAACTTTACTTCACAACCACCTCTGCAACAAGTGTCAACTGGTAGCTTTACATTGCCTCAGCAGCAGTTACCACAAGAAGTGCAGACATCACCGGGCTTGACATATAGTACAATTGATCAGACACAGAGTCAGATGCTCAGTCTATTTCAGCCAACTCTTATAAACGTTTCAGCTGATCAGAATCAGACTTTTACACAAACTCAGACTCAGCAACCCTTGTTTTCCCCTTCTGATAAGAAACCCACAACGAAGGATCTCCTTGCCCAGAGTAGGACACCATCTACAGCAGCTGCAAGTCTTACATTTCCTTCATCAACAATTTCACAGCCGTCACAGATATTACAAGAACTTAATCAATTGAATCAATCCGCTCCAGCAATGTTGCAACCAATTGTTGCCACGGCTACTAGCAGCGTGCCCCCGACGACCACAGCGACAGTGACAAGGACACGACGAGGAAGTGGAGGATCAAGTCAGTCAAGCCCTAAAAATAAAATTAGTCCTATGAGACCTAAACAGCCGATAAATATCGCACCCGCACCTCCACCGTCAATAAGTACAGCTGTCAGTACCCCAAATACAGTGAACACCTCATCACAGGCATCCAACAACACATTTTTAGCACAGCTCCTTACAACAGGTACACATGTCATATTCTTATAGTAAAAGTTAATAGAATTTGTCTGTTAATTTTTGTGTGTGCTATTAGTTATTTTGAGACTAATATTTCTTGCTGGGTTTGATGTTTTATAATCACAGGTAACTATCCTGGGCGTAATATGACCGTACATCAAACGTCAAGCTCTCAGGCACTGATATTACAACCAATCAAAACAGAGTTCTCTTCAATGCCCACTGCATGTGCTCTGGTTTCATCAACAAGTATACCAATACCCACAACACAACCAAATTTTGTCTTGGCTTCGGTAAGTATACATTACAGAACAAAAAATACTCACTGTGGGGAACCTGACAACAAAAGTTGTTCCCCGCCCTGGGGATTTTGAACGGTAGCAATCCCTCCTGTAGGTGAATTTGACAGCACCCGTTACAAAATGTACTGTATACTGCACTTTTGGTTTTTGACATGGGTCCGTAATATTTTGATATGGCTGTATGAAAAAGTTCTTCTGTTCTACCCATACCCCCCACTCCACTCTCACCCCTGGTAGTAAACATTGATACATGTAAGTGTAATTTTACTAATATGGAACTGAGCTTAGTTGCCAGTCTGTTAGATCAGTTTTTATGGAAGCATATTTTTCATGATGGAGGTAGTTAGGTTTCTTTGTGCAGAGAATAAAGTAACACTGAGAAGTGTCATTGAGGCTAGCACACTTGTCTATTTATGTATGTTTATCCTTAGTCACATTGCTGCTGACATTGACCAGATGTACATTTCTGAAGATTCTGATTGATATGTGCTTTACAGATACATTAATTTTTTGGTTGTAAATATGCACAGTAACTGACAGATGACCTTGTGACCTTATACAATAGATACTAATTAGGCCAGACTTTTATTATCCCTTGTTTCGCAAACCCGCCGAATGAACAGGAGCCGAAAATGAAATAAAATATAAAATTTATAAAATATAAATTTTATTTCAGCGTAATTGCTCGCGAGTTCAACAAATTGCTAAAAAAAATTATTTTTATCTTCATTTTTTTTCCGCCCGCCGCCTCACAAATCCAAGTTGCATTTTCATAGGAGTATCATGATCAAAGTACCGATTTCTCGCGCAGAAATATACTTTACGGCGCCGTGGTTTGTGGTGACACGCCGTGTAACTCTGTCGTCAAAAACCGAGAAATCCCTCAATAATGCTGAAAATTGTGCTCCAATTGGCAACATTGCCAACCAGGTTATAAATGGAATAAAATTTTATTTCATTTCTTCTCTCCGATCAATGATCTCACTCACAATTCTTTGAGAATCCCACAAATCTTATGGAAAAAAAGAATTAATTTTACTTTTTTTTCGTCCTCCTCAAAATTACTTACTTATAAAAACTCGAGAAACAAGGAATAAAAAAAGTCTGGCCTTATGGTGCATATCTCTGGTACTACAGTAGCTTTAATATGCATGCAAATTTACCTAAAATTTAATCAAATCTGGATTCTCTTCTGTCAATTATTTTACATTATATGATGACCAAAGTACAGTCACCTACTCTTTTATCTATACAACCATATTAGGTGAAGCAATTTTAATATTTAATTCCAATGGAATTATTAAAGTTTTGATTAAACTTTAGCAATTCAATTACATTTTCTTAAATTCATCTCATTCATCAATTCAAGTTTTGGGGTTTAGTGGTACATTAGTCTAAAGTAAGCAAACAACCAGTGCCAAGATTAGTAAATATTAGAATTGAGTTTTATATGGACCACTATATTTTATCTGCCAAATTTGGTTTTATCTTTTTACAAATTTTCCCACAATTGTTGTTGATTTTAGACATAATGAATTCTTCTTCTACATGTCTTCATCAACATTTTTGAAAAAAAAAGTAGAGAAAGTGATGCAGCATTATTTTGGGGAAAAAGTTTACTTCAAAAAGTAAAATATGTGAATGTTTTTAATATTGTGTGGTGGTTTCATTTGGCAGTTTATAATGTTTTTAAAATTATTCTCATACCCATTCAGTGAGAGCAAATCACTATGGTCAGGTTCAGCAATTAAATATGCAAATTTTACACCTGTATGTCAACATTACAATGTATTTTTGTGACAATGAGAGCAAATAGCTATTGATGTTGAAGACATCTGTCCATGAATGGCATTCCATTTTACTACATTTGATTGTTTTAACATGTATTCTTTCCCAAAATTCATGTTTCTTTGGTGAACTTGAAACATATTTCCTACTTCTGTGAGTGATTTGGCTTTACTGTTCAGTGTGTACTTTGTCAACACTCACCACATAAATTTGCATAATTTTTTTCCTTTATTTATTTGAAAAATTTAATTAAGATTTGTTGCAAATAGAAAATGTTGTAAGTTGGTTCCAAAGTTAGAGGGTTGTAGAAAAATGCATACAAATTTGCAATATGTTTAGGCTTTTAAAATTTGTATGTTTTATTTATTTAATCCATTGTGAGTGATCGAAGTATTAGATTACTGTATTATTTAACAAATCTAACACAGTTCTGTGTATTGTTTGTAGGCTAGTGGCAGTCAGTTGAGTGACCTTCCTTCTGGTAGTCTGCTGGTTTCAACTGAAATACCTACCAAGGTTTCAAGTGCAGTGAATGTTAAATTGAGTTCAAGTACTACATCACAGCCAGAAGTTGTTACCACGTCAACGCCCTCTACAGCAGTCAAAGGTATTATAACATCTCATATATTACATGTCCTCATTTAACCAGTGTAGAGACTAATAAATGAGTTGATGTTCATTTGTTTACCTTTTGTGACATCCATCCTTCTTATCTGATCATACTGATATCCATACTTTGATCAGTATGACTCAAATTTAGTCTTACATGGTACATTTAAAACCTTCTAATATATGTCTCAGATATGTGTTTACCAATCTGAATCCATCCTGTCAGACAGACCAATGATTGAATACTTTACAATATTATTGACCAATGAGTGAATACATTAAAATATTATCGACCAATGAGTGAATACTTTACAATATTATTGACCAATGAGTGAATACTTTATAATATTATCGACCAATGAGTGAATAGTTGACAATATTATCGACCAATGAGTGAATACTTTACAATATTATCGACCAATGATTGAATACTTTGCAATATTACTGACCAATGAGTGAATACTTTGCAATATTATCGACCAATGAGTGAATACTTTGCAATATTATCGACCAATGAGTGAATACTTTGCAATATTATCGACCAATGAGTGAATACTTTGCAATATTATCGACCAATGAGTGAATACTTTGCAATATTCTCGACCAATGAGTGAATACTTTGCAATATTATCACCAATGAGTGAATACTTTGCAATATTATGACCAATGAGTGAATACTTTCAATATTATCGACCAATGAGTGAATACTTTACAATATTCTCATAAATAATTTCATTGTTATACATCATTCTATTCCAATTGCTTGCTAAGGTGGTGAAAATTGTGAGCACTTTCTTTTGGAGATGGTGATATGATAGCCACTGGAGGACACCAATTCTCGTAGATCCCCAAGAAAAAGTTTCTCCAAATCATGATAACCCATACAAGTCTGATCAGACAAATTAGTGTTGGCAGCAACTGATAACAAAATAAATAGTTTTTCTATTTCGCTTTTTGATTTCTGAATTTGATTTTGCTATCAGCTGGATGTTTTGGTCTTATTTCACAGATCGAGGGCATACTTGTGGTGGCTAACATAGCAACCAAGTGTTCACACAACTGACATTTGATTTACAGTCAAATTGTAATTGACAATGACTTGTTTGTAGTTTCAGATTCTGCGTCGTCTTATCTTATCTCGTCTAAATCAATGATTACTGATATGCCGAAGTCAATACCAATGGACACTCCAGAGGTAAATATCCATCTGATAATTGATGTCAGTTTATGTTGTTGTTTTTTGAGCTTCTTGAATTTCTAATCTTGTCATCATTTCATGTCAGTTCTGAAAATATTCTAATTGATATTATTTATGATGATTGCATTACAGGAGAAGTTTTCACTAGCAGATGAGGAGGTGAGATGGGTTTGTGCTAAGGGGTGGTTCTTCAGAAATTCGGGGGGGGGGGTCTGCTTTCTTTCATTTGTTTGTTTGTTTGTTCTTGAAGATGCAAAAAATCATGAGAAAGCTAATTCTGCTAGAATAATTTTGTCTAAAGAAAGAATCTTTCAGCTAGAAAAATACTTAAAAAATTAATTATTCAAAAATTGCTCAAAACTAGTGAAAATGTCTATGTTGCTCAGTTGCTGTTTCTATACTCTACCACTGAGTATCTAATGGATGGACTGATTTAGTGGAATACACTGTGGTATTTTTAGCTGAGATCTAATTAAATATTGACCACTGCATGTGGTGATGTTCCACAATGACATCGTAACTGCACAAGAATGGTGACTCTTTGCAGCAATATTAAGACTCTACAGACCCCCTAGCACACTGAAAGTAAATGTTAACTAAAGCTCATCTAAATCACTGCAAAGTTTTACATTGTAAATAAGTGTGTTGGAGGCAGGACCTGTTCGCCCAATTGAGTCTGATAAGTATGATATAATGGAACAAGGCATAAAACTACTTCCAAAATTATGACAGAATCATCTTGTGAAAAGAAATCAGTATGACAAACCTATTGCCTCCAGGCAACCAAAGCAATCTGTCTCAAGACAGATTTTATAACTTTATATATGAATCCAATTGCCATTGTCAACAAACGTTACGAATATGGAATTAATCCAAAATTATCACTGAGCAAAAGAATCTCCAGTCTTCTGTGAACCAGTTCCCAAACAATCTCAAATATTATTTTGTGGTCGATTTGCATTAAAATATGTTATCATGAGTTTAACATTGACAGCACTTCTTTGTGCAACTTCAAAAATGGTGAAAGCCAAAGCATGTATTGTGATGACATGCATGTGAAGGAGCAATGATTTTATAAAGTATAGAAAGCTTGAAATGTTGTGAGTCTTCAACCTCCCCTCAATTAATTACACATTCAATCTAGTGACCTTGAGACACATTGTCTGATTGTACTGCAATTTGAGGGTTACAAGTATTAAGAAGCCATTTTGCAGTATTATGGTGATAGCAACTTACTTGATTAGTATATGATATATTCTATAACATTACCAATGTTGCAAGTATACAATATAATCTTTATTTCATGACCAGCCTAATGACTCAAAGAAGGCAAATCATCAAAATGCTGAACAGAAAAGAAGGGTCAATATCAAGGTATCTATTTTAATTTTATTACTTGACCTTGGTGCATATTATTCACAGTACCGGTAGTGATTTTTAACGCAAAATATCACTAACTGATGTTTTATACTAGACATCACAATATTCACAATAAATCTGTCTCATTAGTTGCGAAGTGCCCAAACAGTACGTGGAGAAAACAGTGGTGGTACAGTTTTTATCACCGCGATACAAGAATTTTAGTTTTGATAACAATTATTCGCAAAATACAATAAAATTACTTGTTATATTAAATTAATGTTTATTTTGAAAAATACCGTTAAGAAGTGAAAAATTATTGTAAATTGTTGAAAATATTGGCAACTATAACTGTAAATACACATGTACTGATATCTGTAGACATCACACTTAATTAGCATAAATAGGCGTATGATTTACAGATCTTTCTGTTTTGACACCGTGAATTGTTACTCGAAAACAAAATAATGACGTCACTCGTAATCCCATGAAAATCTTCTCAAAATTCTTCTCAATCATGATTTTTGTCATAACTTGAAATTATGCATTGACTCCATAGTTTCAGTTAATCCATTTCATATATTCTTCTCAAGCTACAATCATGTAGAATTTGTTTGTTTCTTTTCAGGCTGGATTTGATACTTTACAAACAATCATACCTGCTTTGGTTCAAAATCCCAATCAGAAAATTAGCAAGGCAGCAATGTTACAGAAAGGTAAGTAAACTGGTGTTGTGTCAACTCTTGGTATGAACTGTATGCAACATTTATATAATATTAGGCCAGCCTTTTTTTATTCCTTGTTTCTCGAGTTTTTATAAGGCACATTTTTTGAGGAGGGTGGAAAAAAAATAAAATTAATTCTTTTTTTCCATTATATTTGTGTGATTCTCAAAGAAATGTAAGTGAGATCATTGATCGGAGAGAAGAAATGAAATAAAATTTTATTCCATGTATAACCTTGTTTCTCATCTGCACGAGACTTTGGTACTTTGATCGTGATACTCCCACGAAAAATGCAACTTGGATTTGTTATGCGGCGGGCGGAAAAAAAATGAAGATAAAAACAATTTTTCTTAGTAATTTTTTGCACTTACGATTCGGCGGGCGCAAGAAATTACGCTGAAATAAAATTTTATTTTTATTTCATTTTTGGCGGGTTCGCGAAACAAGGGATAATAAAAGTCTGGCCTTAACAGCACTTGTTTTCAACTTTACAAAAAAGTTTTTAGCTAAATCAATGTAACCCTATGTATGAAAGGGAAATTTGCTAAATGTCATGTGTAATATAGTAAAAACAAAGTGATTTTAGTATGCCCATGTGAGGGCGCTCTAATGATTGTATATTTTGTTCAGATATCACAACTTTGCTTGGCAATCTCATCTGTTTACCATAAAAACAAATCTGAAAGAGATAAAATCAGTTACTTTTTCAAACTTTAGAATGTCTTTTAGTTCTGAAACTCACCAGCTATTTCCATAATGCACCATTTTATTACCTTTCAGCTGTTGACTATACTAATAAATTGAAACACGAAAGAACCCAGAGACAGAATGAAGCTGCTCTGTTGAGAAGGGAAATAGATTCTCTGAATGCAGCTATCAAGTAAGTACGAATCGGCATGTTGGTTTGATCTGGACCATTGTAACCAATTCATATTGGCAAGAGTGCTCAGACTTCAAGCTGAACTGTCTCAGTTTTACAATACTACTGAAAGCTGAAGCTCCCTAGGTTGGCAGCTCCTTAAAACAGCTATTATAATTAGATTAGCAGCACTCTCCACTGATGAGGTTTGTAAACCAATTAGTCAGAATGTTAAAGGTGTTTTGTACTGGAGGTGTTTGAGGTTATAAACGGAAAGCATGGTACTTGGTAGCTGACAAAACAGATGTGTGAATGAGGTCTTGTGTTCCAATTGTATACTATACAACAAATAATGCACCTGAGGAGTTTTCTCATGAACTTCACAGTGATTGTAATCTGAGAACAGACTGCTCAAGGTAGAGTGAACCAAGTGAGTATTGGTCACCAAATCCGGGAGGAGAATAACACACTGGAGAGGAGCACTTGTAGCCAAGGTGTTCATTGCTCAACTGCTAGGCCTGGAACTGAGTCTAAATACTCACGATATGTTCCATACAATGTATCAATATCATTATGCAAATAACTAAACTAAATGTCATAGCCTCAAATCATTACAGTGATATTAACATTTTTGGCAAAAATATTTTTGATTATTTATTTGTACCTTGTTTCCCTGTTTTGTTGATTATACACCTGCAACCACAATAAACATTGCTCACAGTTGTGTAATACTTATTCTGTTAGATACTTCCCCGGGGGTAAGCTAGTTTATAGAAGACCTTGCTTCTGCCAATCAGATGGCTAGATTCAGAGTGACGATGCTATAATCAAAATGAAATGCAGCCTCTACTTACGTCCCATATTAATATTCAAATTTTTGAGTCAAATTCAAAATTTCAACTGGTATATTTTAACCTAATGTCAACTGTGCAATATATCACAAACATGATATATTTTTATCACTTTTATTACAGTGAAACTCAAGCTAAGTTGCCGGCCACGGGTGTTCCAGTTACTAAGCAACGCTTTGATCAAATGAGAGACATGTTTGATGACTACGTAAGGACAAGGACTGGACAAAATTGGAAATTCTGGATTGTATCCTTTTTTTTTGGTGATGAATAGTAATTAACATATGGGAGATGAGGAATATGGGAACTAGTTTTGACATGTGATAGGAATGTCTTGTCATACATTTGTTGGTTATATCTCTTCAATTGTCTGGTATGCAGTGATATTGGTTAGATGGACAGTGAACTGGCGATCTCTGAACCCCTGAAGAGTGTCCTGACCCAATATTGGGATAGGGTGCGAAAATGCAGGGAAAATTATGTTCATACATAATTCAAGTTGAGTTATGGCTGCCATTGGTTGGGTTTTATTTTAGGCAATGAATTGATATTTTCATTGTAATGCACATGCATCTCCCGCCAGTCATCAGGTTCAAGGTTCAAACAGAATTGAAACGTTCCACAGGTTGTACTTGTTCATATTTAAATTCTGACAATTCTGGTGTAAATTTATATTCTCATTCAACTGCTCACACAACTTGTTTGTGACAATGCATACAACTTGTCTCCTGGTACTGCTTTATCAAATCAAAGTACAGCATAAATGTAAGAGTCAAAACTTGTTAAAGTACACATGTATAAGTTTATACTGTGTAATTGGAAAGGCATTCTGGGATAGGAGATGATCAATGTGTTATTGTTGCACAGAGTACATGGAAAAAATAGATATTTCAAAATGTGGATGCATAATCTATGGTTTACTATTCTTAACATGCTGTTCACAGTTCAGTATTATAATTCGGCCATTGTTTGAGTCGTATAATGGTATGGTATCTACAGCCAGTATTGATGAGCTATGTCGGACAGTCCTTGCATGGTCTGAACAACACTGTGCTCTCACTGCTTTAAGGCCATGTAAGTAGCTTGAAATATAACTCTGGTAAAGGTAATGATGGAGATTTAAAGCAGAAGGGTTTATCACACATGTGTGAATTGAGTTCTAAACGATGATAATGCAAAAGCTCATGGGAAAACGACACTCTATGGCCGTCTGTTGCATGCACAGGTGATGACTTCAAACCTTCACATTTGTCAGTCTGTCAATAAATAAAATAATGTTTTGAGAGATTTCTATATTCTAAGTTATGAACACCTATACAGAGTTAAGTATTCATAAAATAAGGGTTTGTAACTATCAATGTATGGTGATACATGTATGAGATATCTTGTAAATTCCATATACATATTGAATGTATTTCAACCAATGACATCACAATGCAGTGGACACTTAGAAAGTTTAAATGCGTAAACAGAAGTGAGCGACATTATCACCACATTGAAAAATGCAAACACACATACTGGTAACCCCAACTACAGTGATTCTTCCACGGAATCACTCATTTGCATTAATATTTCTCGAAATAAATGTTTGTGGTGCGATTGTGTAATCATCGCACACTTTGCCTGTCTCTTCTTCAAGTCTGGTGAGATTTTGATCACATCATACTACCTGCATACATTCTTAAATAAATTCTTGTTGCAAGTAAATAATTTTCAAATTGCTTCTATCCGCATCAACGAAATTCTTGTAACTAAGAGACACCAGTGATGTATTCACTGGTTGTCATCCTCAGATGTTTTAATGGATGAAAATGACGCATATACATATTTTGTTCACAGCTGTTCTACCATCATTAACTCAACTAAGTACAACCACATCAATCTTATCCGACCCGTCATTGGTGCCAGAACAAGCAGCACAGGCAGTGAAAAAACAGCCCGGTAACCAGTAATTGGTTTTGTTATTGTTGCCAAGGAATCAGAAGTGGATAGGAATCTCTGGTATGCTAATTGATGATTATAGATGATACCATTGATGCCATTTTAAGATAATTGTCAAATCTCTTTATAACGAATGAAGAAAACAATGCAATTTATTTTCTACATGTTTAGTTTATCATTATTATGTACAATGTTGAAATGTAAGCACTGTGGTGTCGACTGTGACTGACGTCAGCTGATGATGCAGTGCTACAATTGATGTTATCTTCGTCATCTTCCACAGTGATAAGATTGTTAGAATGTAACTTACTTCCAATTTATAGATTATTCAATATTTTTGCGTCACAGATTTTGTAAGGAATGTTGAGTAAAGAATGATTTTTTTTTTTTCTAAAAGTGAGCAGTCATCTTAGATGCTTTGTGTATTCCGTCATATCAACAGCAAGAGATTCTATGCTTGTCAATTTCACTATATTATTATTTTGTCTTGCATGGAACATTTACACTTATATGACCCTTTAATTGCCAGGCAATATTGAATGTTCTGTGAGCATCATTGAATTGAGTGCCTCTTTATCTTACATATCTTTTAAGCCTTCAGTTAAAGTAAGAGACACTTCAATGGCAGATTATGCCTTATTTGTTAATTTCAATTCATTAGATGTAATTTGCTTTTGTACAGTTTAAATACATTTATTTCCCTTTTTGCCTAGGCATCAGCTGTATCACCTTTGACCTGTTAGCCATACCTCTGACCTATGCAGCTATGTTGAAATTGTAACGCCATCTTTTGCAGCCATGTTTTAATTATGATACCGCTGACTGCCAGTCATGTTAAAATTGACACCTGACTTGGTAGCCTTGTTGAAATTCAAAGTACTCTGATATAGTTGAGTCATTTTTTGGATCGTTACATTGGTTATCTACATTGAACACTGATTATGTATAACAGTATGTAGCCCCGGTAGTACATTTTTATAGTTATGTTCTGGCAGGAAGAGTAACCAAAGTTAATATCTATTTGTAAACTTTTTACATTGTACAATACCAAGTAGCCAAGTCTTGGAAATGATGAAGTATATTGCATCTGAGATTTATGTCAACAGTTATTTTATTTCGAGATATTTTTTGTTCACTTATATTGTTTTTTATTATTTGATATTTTTTGAGAAGCAATAGTTGATTGGATGTGTTTGATTTGGTCACACCCAATGTATATGTTACGTAACCTTGATAGCAATGATTGTTCTATAACCTGTGACTGTCACATGATAGGGTGAATATGACCTAATTCCATATCAATAACCAGCAGTGTATTTGACATGAGAGCTCGGACCTAACTGGGTGGGGAAGGACTGGATGTCATTTGGTGAGATTGACTAAGAAGACATAATGTTATGCCTTTAATATGTATAATATAGTGTCGTATGATTTATTACATCAAATATTTTGTTTATCAATATTTAAATCCTTAATAACAAATACAGATGTCTGCGAGAGGACGATTAGCGTTCCTGTCTAGACATAATGCACAATTTGTTCTTTTATTCAAACTGTCAATCTATTAATATGACAAAATTGCATGTATGACTGTTTTATATAAATAAATGTAAGTGTTATATAATTTACTTGTGCACATTTGCATATAGCAGTATCTTGGAGAAGATCATATTGAACATATTATGTACAACCTACAACGCAATAGTGTATTAAAATACTGCAATTTAAATACATATTTAATTCCATTAAAAGGTTTATACATATACTCTTTGGGGGTGATGCAATTTCTTTGCATAAAATGCATAGATGTATTTGAAAAATTGATTTTGGTCAGTAATTGTTTTTTTCAAATATTTTATTAGTCTCGAAAAACTGGTTTTATTAATTTGGATTATAGTCATTTCCAAGTCATTTCTGTATGGAAACGTGCATATGTAAAAGCTTTTTAATTGGCTCAAACATGGCTGCCATGTATATTGTCAACATAGATATTAAATGCATGTTCACAACCATTTCAGGTGACTGTGCAAATATGAAAACAACATATATTGAGTTGTAGATGCCCACAGTTTGCAAATTGGTTAAAGCGGGAGAGTCGTCACCTGCGCACGTGTAGGAATTGAGTACCAAGCAACAATAACACGCTAAAAAATGCAAAGGCTCATGGGTAGACACTTGTTTGTAAAGAATGACATGCTATGGCCATCTGATGCATGCTTAGGTGACGACTCCCCCGCTTTAAATAAGGCCAGCTTTGGATTATTTTGTTTTATTGTTCATACTGGTTTATCTGCAGTTACCAGCTCTATTCAAAATGATAGTACAGAATGAGTTTATTTTTTGCATCACGTATTGTTTTGTGATCCCGTCCAGAATCACTGACCGGTGGCCATGTTTCTCGTACAAATTCTATACAAATATATGAACATATCTGCAACTGTTTTACTGAGCTCACCAGGCTGATTTTATTCATGCTTAGTATGATGTGAATACATTTTGAGGTGAAGATGCAAATTTACTTTTCTTTGTTATGTCCATGTAGCTGCTTGCAACTGTTTCTCTGAGCTGTGTTAATTTTATCATAACTTTAGATGATGACCATGTGTTTTCCTGATTTAATTTGGAATCCAACATTGCCACATTGTATTTATTATTTTTCCATAATTATTGGTAATTGATTAGACATAAGTTTGCACATATTTCCAAAAACCTTTTCTTTTAGCTTTATCCTGGTGACTGTTGTAGTATATAATTTTAAATTCCAATTAGCCAGAATTTTTTTTATAGGTTATTTATATTGGTATGCTTTGATACAAACTGCATTTCTAAAGGATGTTATGAGTGGGTATTTGGCTTCATTACTATATAATCAATCTTAAATTTTATAATCAGTAGATATGTTTTGAATGTCATTCTTAGCATAGCCTGTCTCACCATCAGTACCAATAGTGTTAAATGTGTAATTTTTTTTGCAATGTTTCAGTTACTCGATCGATTGATTAAAGTAAAATTTGAACATTATGTTTTAGTTATGAGCAATGCTCTTATGAGCTGAATATATCTTGATATTTTAAGAAAATTAGCAATGGCAGCCCTTGTATAATATGCTACATATGTGAGCTGACCTCACTGTAACAAGTCCTGTGTATTGCTGGAATTCAGAACATTGACACCATGCATGCATTTTATTCCTTGAGTTTCTATGTTCACTGCAGTGGTGCTTTATTTTTTTGAGACCTTCCAAGAATTCATTTTATTACATATAGATGCCTACTTACACTACAAGTAAATGTACTTGAAACTGTAACCTAACGTAACACTAGCCATACCTTTTGAATAATGATTTTCAATCCCAGTCTGTACATATTGATGAGGTCTTGCTCCTTCCATTTGCCTGTGCTGACCACTCTTACTATTGCTTATATTTATAAACAAGACATTTATGTGAATGTCATGCATGACATTGTATCAATTAAACTGTTTTGTTGGGAACGTTTTGTAATTTTGCTAGTTGCGCTCTGTTGACATGACTACCTGTAAATAGACCTTGTGTCATTCAGTAATTATCCGTAAATGTGATAATTTTGTTTCTTTTCAGACTGCCAATCATTGATATTATTCTTTGAATGATTTGACATAGAATGTAGAAATGATCAACTGAGACTATTGATTATAGACAATGAACAAGTCATCCTTTGTAAAGACATTTCTAAATTCATTTATTGAAATCTGTGATCAAGAAACTAAACTGTTGTTGTCATTTATTGTGTGCTGAGTGAGACTAGCCATGGTGTGCAGGAATTGATATTGTGGAAGGCTCATCGTGGTTGTGTGCTGCTGATTGTACTAGCCATGGTGTAGCTGGGGTTGGTGTTGTGGAAGGCTCACCATAATTGTGTGCTGATTGTACTAGCCATGGTGTAGCTGGGGTTGGGGTTTCAGAAGGATATTTCTGGTTGTGTGCTGATGATGTGACTAGCCATGATGTAACAGGAGCAGTCGTTGTGGAAGGGTCATTCTAGTTGTGTGGAGAGTGTGACTAGCCATGGTGTGGCAGGGGCGGGTGTTGTGGAAGGGTCACTCAGGTTGTATGCCGAGTGAGACTAGCCATGGTGTGAAAGCGGT